TCACATAATGTACAAATATCTCATTTTTGCGTTAAACATAGAAGACTTTTTTGTAAAGGGGTATAATTCTTGCACTAAATGTAATTATTCTTGACAAGAAAGATTCCTTCAATGAAATGTTTGAGCCTATGTAGCTCCCCAGTATCCAATATAAATGATGAGAGTGTCATTCTAAGTAACTGTTAAAAGTGTCTAAGCCTTTACCTTATACGCTTCCAAGACGAATCAACTCGAATTTATAGACTGTTCTGGTGTTAAGTTTAAACATTTCACATATCCTTCAGCTCGTCTTAAACACCACTCTTTTATGCCATAAAGATAAACTCCGATTTTCAAAAAAAAATTTGAACGCATTATTGAAAAATTGGACTCTAACAGTCTTAAATATTTGGCAGTTCACCATCATATGTATAAGAATTGTTTCAATAGACTTAGATTATCGTAAGCACTCGAGTTTGTGTGCAATGTCAACGGAATGTGAGCAAAACGCGAAATTTTTTACAAACAAACAAGACCTCGACTTCTATGAATAATTGGGGTTATATATGTATCTATGACGAATAATATTTCCGTCATCAACATTATGCGATTAGATCTCGTGTGTCAACACCAGTGAGCGTTTAATTTAATTTTTCAAAGACTGCCAACTGAGCCAAATGTTATCGGGTTCAAATTGCGAAACTTATACAGAAAATGTAAGTAATAAATATATACACACATTAACCGTATATAATTTACACAATTTATTTGTTAACGATGCAGTTGTTTGGGTGGGACCTTGAAATATGCAACAATATTATTTTCAACCTTCCTACTTGAAAGCTATGTTTTAAAAAAGCTGACCCAAAGCGTACAAGCGCTCATACACCATACGCAGTTTTTACTTTGAATAATGTATTATTAATATTTCATTTGAAGGCACCAAGTTAAGCGGAATTATTTTCTTCATAATTTTTGGAATACTGGCCGGAATGCCCAAAGGTCCGTACCCAGCTGACAAAATAAATTAGAATATTCCCCAAATATGATAGACCTCTACTTTCCAAACCACCGTGCAGGAGAGTGCATCAGTTCTGAACTAGTTTGAGACCGATCACCTTAAGTGGCACATCTAATGTGCCTACTAAAGGCGATTGTCGGAATTAAAAAAGAAGAAAGAAAATTACTTGTATTAATTGTTGTAAAACTTTAGGAATATATATTTACATATTTTAAAAATACACAGAAAAAAATTAATTTTCGAGTTACACACGATCAATGACGGCGCTAAAAACAGGTTCGTCATTGTTGCGGTGATTTCAGCGGTGGCTTGCGGTCGCAAAACGAACTAAAATTTAAAAAATAACGGTGTTTGTTTTTTCATATTTCGATAGTTTATATCTTTAAAAATAACATACTAAAATTTTGGCCTGACAAAATTAGTTTTTTTAACAGATCAAAATACTAGTAATTTTTGCAGTGATATTTTTCTAGGTATAGACTATCGAAATGCTAAATTAAAAATAATAATTTTTTCAAATTATCAAACTGCCCCCTAAAGTGCTACCAATTTGCGAAATTCCCACTAGTTCTCAACTAGTTTCTATTTTCCTGCCGTGTATGCATAAACATACATACATACGACTATTGGTGCTCCATTTCATAACTACAAAATATTTTCAGCCTTTTCACAAACACTCACGAATAAACTGTACAGTGTTGAGTGGGTATTCACGAGATAAGAATGTCCACAATTTCTAAACAAGCTAAAACAAAACTGCCCAAGTATATAGGTATGCATTCAAAAATGTGCTATTCCTAGAATGGAAGGCATCAAATAAATGCTGACGATGGCGCAACAGTGCAAGGGCCGCAGCGGTTGATCCGCGTTCTCGCTTCTCACACGCTTACATAGGTTGGGGCAACAACTACGGCGACCACAAATACAAAGTGGCCAAAGTAACAATATATAGTACTACCAGCAACAACAACAGCGCAGTAGTCACAGCATCAGCATCAGTAGCCGCCGCTGCCGTTTATCTATTTTTGACGAATCCACAAAGTTCGTTAACACCGAAACTTATGCCATAAAATAAAATAGAACGGGGACCAGCAACAGGGCACAGCGCTATCACGTACCACAAGCGTCAACATGATGTCGGCCATGTCGGTAGGTGTTGTTGTGATTTGAATGGAGGCGATCGCTGCCGGGGGGAGTAGTGTGCTGCGTATATTTACGTACGAATTAGTTGAGAAGAAATTTTGTATTTATTCTACGCTTCAACAGGCCAAAGGCGGTTGAGTTGATGGTGTATGGCCTCACCAGACGCATTTCGGCCGCCGTTGCACATAATTTAAGCGAATTAATGTTGTTACATGTCGCTCTGCGTCTATTTATAAATGGCGGCAATTTTCATAAATAAAAGTGACTGAAACATAATATTTTCGATTGGAAAAGCCTACGGCGCCAAATTGTGTAAGCAAATTTAGAACGCTTGTGTGGATTATTAGTTTTAGAATAACACTTTTTGAATATGAAACTCGAAAACAATTTTCATAGCTTATTTATAGCTGAATTTAATAAATTTATTAATATAGTTTGTTTAGTTTTTCTAACGAATCATCTTTAGAGTGACTTAAGGTGTTGTATCCACTTGCAAGTCAGAAATAAACGTGTTTTTGTGAATGTTTTTTGTAGCGTCATTTAACTTCATAGAAATAAAATAATCTACCTTTACTGAACTTAATGTATTTTAACAATCGGTGATTCATTTTGAAAAATTTGGGATTTCTTTGCTCCCTTAGCCAATCTCCAGGAGAACATCGGAAAATATGTGTCGGGCTGTGTGAATGATTTTTCTGCTTAAAATTATCTCAGATCCAAAAAAAAAATTATTATAACATTCGATGAGAACAGATATTGAACTAAGGACTACTCAAAAGGAAGTAGTTTCTGTGAAAAAATTAGATTTTAATCAAAAATCTTATTCCTTCAATCATTACCTGACAAATACTATCTAAGAAGGTCGTGTGAAAATTTCGTTCCGGCAATATTGAAGAAATTTTCTTCACCTACTCTGGAAACAACGTTTTCAAAGTTTTGGGAACCCATTACACTAAGTAAAAAAATTCTACAAATATGCTTATATCTCCAAAACTATTTGACGGATCAACTTCAAATTTTCGGAAAATATTCTCAAATATTCGATATACATATAACCAAAGCTTTCGACTTTTTGAAATCTACCCTTAATGTAAATTTATTACGAAAAGGATGCGGTTACGTAGGAGCGGTGGAATTTCGAATCGTTTTCTTATCGAGAGTTAATTTTTTTTTCAGATAACTTCTGTAAGATTACATTTTTCAATAAAACAATTTTAGTTTAAACAAGAAAAACGTTAACATCGGCTAAACCGAAGATATAATGCCTTTCAATGGCAAATTTCTTTTACAACTATATATATATATATATATGTATAACCAAATCTGAAAACATAATCGGCCAACGGTTAGCATACGTAGGAAAACGCTGTTTGTTCTTTTTAGTCACGTTGTTTGATATGAAGAACTTCCAAGTCGAATCAATCTTAATAAGGGAAAAAAATCTTTTTGAAAATCTTTATCTTGATTTTAATCGCTCAGTTTGTATGGCAGCTTTATGCTATAGTGATACAATCCAAATCGGATATTGTAGTGTTGCTTTGGGCTATAATCAATGCCAAATTTTGTATAGCTATCTTATACAAAAAAATTTTCCATACAAGGACTTGATATTGACCGATCAGTTTGTATGGCAGCTATATGCTATAGTGGCCCGATATCGGTGGTTTCGACAAATGAGCAGTTTTTTGGGGAGAAAAGGACGTTTGCAAAATTTCAAATCGATATCTCAAAAACTGACGGACTAGTTCCCGTATTATACAAACAGACAGACGGACATGGCTAAATCGAGTCAGCTCGTCACGCTGATTATTTATGTATATACGAGTATATCTAAATATTTTATATCTATATGAGTTTTATGCGATAAAAGCTTTATTATCATATAAAACTTCCTAGCCACCAGAGTAACCTTATATGCTTATATGTTCGTTTTTGGATAAGGTTGACTCTTTTGCTTCTCGCTTTATCGGGCTTTCGTATATGCGCCGAAATGTAGGCAACAGTTGTAATTTTTCGACATAGGCAATTAAATTTGACAATTTTCGTGGAGTGTGTAATATTAGTAAAACTTAAACCTAATATTTATCATTTTCAACACGAGATTTGTAGAATTTTTTCATTGACTTCTCTTTTTTTAATAAAAGTGTATGTGCTTGATAATTTTTGAACAAATCATAGTTACTTATACAATTTGTTTTTACCTCATAACTTTTAACCGCATCTAAAACATATGACGTATGAAAGAATTAATCTTATAAAGTATTAAATAAATCAAAAGTCTAAAAAAAGTAACAACTTGAAAACACTTGATCTTGAATAATATTTCTATCTAGTACGTAAATAAATAGATATTCATTTATATAATACCCCCTACCTAATAAGTCACTTCATCAAAATGCTTCAAAAACACGTGGTTAAAAGTAAAGACTCTAAATACTCAAAAGCAAAAAATAATCAACACTGTAGATTGCTGCACACACGTAACTACATAAGTCCCGTTTATTTGTTCGGCGGTGATAAGCTTAAGTGGCATTGCCTTAAAATCGCTACACATTTTTAACCACTAAAGTTCATTTGCGTTTCCTAGAAATTTATGTATTTACGGTATTTACTTATTTATGCATTTTTATATTTCGTATTATTATAAACCGTTTTTCTTTGTTGTTCAATAAGTTGTAATAATGCTCGCCTTAAAAGCTCCAAGCACTTATTGTCAACTTTATATAGTTGTGTACATATATGTATATATATATATAAATAAGTACACGAATAAATAAAAGTACATAAGTACACGAATACATATCTACAAACAACTATAACTAATATGCCACTATCTGTTATTTGCCTCCCATTACAGCTACAATGGTTATTTACCGCAAGGTGATCGCGGTCGTAGACGTTCAAAATTCGTACTTTACAAACGTACAGAGCCGAACGGTGTGAAACGTTCCAAACACTATATCGTCCAATCGCCACAGACATCGAAAGCTATACTAGATGCCAATCAACATTCAATTTCATACACACTATCACGTAATCAAGCTGTCATCGTGGAATATAAAGAAGACACGGAAACGGATATGTTTCAGGTAAGAGCACGTGGAGTACTTTATTCAAATAGCTATGTATAAGTGGTGTTTATAGTAGAGCTGCAAAACTATCGATAGTCGAACCAATCGATAGTTTCGATAGTTTAAAAAAATACTTTCGATAGTATCGATATTTTTTCCCCTTGAAATACACTTACTTTTTGCTGGTAAAATCAAAAGGTACATTTTTTTATACATGTAATATAAGATCAGGAAATGTGTACTTAAAATATGTTTAGGTTTAGTCAAAAATTCTGATTCTATATGAGTAAGTGAGGTTATGTGCAGCCGGTATTTCTAAACATTAGAAATTCTTACCCAATTGTAAATATTTCCGTATAATTCCGTCTACTAACTCATCTAACACCTAATTTAAGCGTACAAAGAGTTAAATTTAATAACTTGTATATTATTTCAAAAATTTAAAACCATATGCGTTAAATTAAATATGCATATTAAACTTTACTTTTTGTATTACTAGACAATATCAATATGTAGCTATTTATATTAAGTGAAATTTTGCAAATTTATGAAAATTGTTGGTAAGTCTAGATAAGGCATAAACTAACGATAGTGAGATGAAAATAAAACTATCAATATTAAAAACATATACCCTATAGATGTTTGCAATTTCCTATATTTAGCTAGCAATAATATTCGAGTTTACATTTTTTTTTTTTAATTTTACAAAAGCCAATAAAGAATATAAGTACCCTTTATTAGCATTGCAACTCTTTCGTTTACCAAGAGCAGTTTGGAGATCAATCAGCTGATGCAATTATGATGTAAATTGAGTCGTAACACAGTTCAATTTATCTTCAGCAGTTATATCAACAATTTATTTATATATTATATCATTTCTTTAAAGCTAATACCCAATATATAATTTAGTAGCATACAAACTCTTTCATATAACAAGTTAAACCCGTTCTATTAGTTAAGACAATTAAGGTCAAAATTAAAAACGAAACGAAACCTCAAAAATCAGTTTTTCAACGTTTTTAACAGCTGGATAAAAGTTATCTGGACTTTTTGTGTGAAAACGTCTATGTTGGATAATTTGATTATAGCTTAACATTGAATCGCTTCCATTACTCACAAAATTATTTCTTTCTGCCGATATAAAGTTCTGATTGCAATCTACATTGAAATTCAATTCACTACCAAGTAGTTACAAAATCATTAAAGGCAGCATCACTTGTTCTTTATAGGATTGCAAGAATATATTGGTTTGCTGTCATTGACATGACATTTCGCTTTGAAAGCATTTCGCAAAGTTACATTGCGTCATAAATTCTAATTGGGCAATTAGTTAATTGCTTTAATTTTTGGTCGATTGCAAAAAGTCTTACTCCGGTTCAACGTTCGGTGAATGGGCCCGAAACAAGATGGCCACCTATTCCGATTACATTCTCAAAAAGTCACTGTTTGGTATGCTCTGTGGGTACAGGGAATTATATTTATTTATATATGAAGCCGGCCTTAATGTTGCAGTCTATGGGGAACGCTAAAAAGCCATGATTAGTGACTTTCGAGCCTGAATTGTAGGATGTTGATGTGGACCAACAAGACAGAAGCGCATTATCACGCGTCGCGGGCCTATAGCATGGCCTCCAAGATTGTGCGATTTAACACCGCTGAACTATTTATTTGAGCGATCCGCGGCAGTTGCTTCTCGGAAATAATTTTTAAAACATAATGTTAAACTCGTATCTTTATAATAAAGCTAAATTCTTGGCCATATACGTAGTTTTATTTCTTTTTGAAAACCACATAGCTAAAAAAAACAGCCTTTACACAATCTTGAAATTTTATTTTAGTTCTTTTAAAAAAGTTATGAAATGTCATGCAACTTTTAATAATTAAATACCATACATATTTGTAATTAGGTTAAGTTCAATGCAAATTCAATTTTTTTTTTCTACAAAGATACAAACATATGACCAACGTTCAGTATAATACCTACAATATAATTTGCAGCAGTTCATTTGATTACTTATTCCATTATTGTTAAGTGTGCACTTTATTGTGTTTACCGTTACTAATAGAATGAGAAATTACATTACGGTTGTTCCTGTTTCAATAGTTTATTTTGTTTGTTGTCACCAATAAAAATAGCAGAAATGTCTTTTGTGTCGTCTTTTGTATTCGAGTTATTTATTCAATTTTTAATTTGTTTGCTTTAGCGAACATTTTAAAAAATATGAGTAATAAAAAATACATATATGTATTTAAATGTGGCAAAGGGACAGGAAATCATTACTGTTTTAAAATTTTATAGATTCTTGTTTAAATTTCCGCGTAGCATTAATCGCAGTTTCATTTGCAATTACGAAATTTTAATATAGGAGACAGAAGAAAAAGAGATTAGTAGGAAGCAGGCACCAAGCATTAAAATTCTTCAAAAATAATTTTAAGAATATTCAAGTATTACCTTTTGCCATCTAAACCTGTAATAATAATTAAAGTTTCTTCGAGAAAAATTGCGTGAGAAACCGCTAATATATCGATAGCGTCAGACTGAGGATATATATCACAGAAAACTCTCCCGAAAGTCATTAATAAAAATGTTAATTGCGAACATTTTCTGTTAAAAAATGGAAATTAGTTTTGCTATTTCTTCCCAAGTATTTATTCTTCGATGAATTTAATAGACTTACTAGATATAGTAACTGAATTTCATGCATGCTTTTAGGTCAACCTCGCTGATATTTCTGATTATGTTCGAAAAAGTCGAAATCAATTCAATAAAATTTCTTTGCGTTTTGCGCTAAGATTAAGCTGATTAAAGGAACACGTAGACTTAAAACATATATCTTTTAATATATAAAAAAAATTAGGGGGATTATTGCATAATAGAGCTACTTCTTTCAAGTCAAATTAGATTTGAAATTGATTGCTAGACTTACTCTCATAATTCCTTCTACATATGTACGTTCCTTTAAACTATCTGCAATCAATTGATAGGTTTTTATGAAAAGATATTTTATGCTAAAACTGAATTCAGTAATATGAAATTGTTAGCCCAAAGGAGGTTAGATTACTGTTGACTTGTTTCTCGTGACTCGTGACTTTAAAACACTAACGAAAAGTTTGAATTTTTTTTATTAATACGCCTAAATGTAGGCAACATGTCTCTCAGAAAAACATGAACTCCTCAAAAAATTAAAAACGATTGTGAATTGAAATTTCATTTATAACAGAATTTCATTATTATTTTGATTAAGTCAAACAAGTTAATGTGTTTTTCAAGCTCATCAACAAATTTGCCTGTTTGATAAGCAACACTTTCCCCAAACTACATGTTAGAGCGCGTAGAAAATGCTTATAACCAAACTTTTTCTTGATTTGTTTTTTCACGATATATACCATATACATATGGTATATGCTTGTGTGAATAAATGGATGCTACCAAAGTAAATAGAAAATGTCACTATGTCATACTTTCTACCATTCCACACATGCCAACATACACAATGGCATTTTGTCAATATTTAATACCGAGAACTGTTGCGTATTCAGTGCAAACATATCGATTTCATTAGTTAGCCCAACCATGTTGCTAGCTGTCTGGTGTCCCCAGCTATGTGCGTCAGTTGTTCTACGTGTGTGGAGTACATATGTTTGTGTATTTTTCTTTCTTAGCGACGCGTGTGTAATATTTGTTGTTGTTAAATACTTGTAGGAGTACCTGTGCCTGACACTGATCTGCTTGGAAATCGTCATTGGATGACATTGTCAGTGTCACAGACGTCAGTGACAATCATAGCACATCTGAGGCACATATATTATATATGCTCCCTAAGTATATATAATCGTATATATATTTCTGGGAAAATATTCTCTGTCCAATTGTTTTTTGTCGTCCTTATATTTTTTTATTGTTTTTTTTTTTGCTTATTGATTTGAAATATTAATAATCGCAAATTTTTGCTTTTCGGAAGATATATAACATTCACCGTAATTTTTAATGAAACGCGTTACATTACTATCTATCCGCATTATTTCCATATACAATATAAATTTATGATTATAATAATTGCTTTTAGCGTGTGGCTTTGAAATCTGCCGACATTGCTTTATTCTCTTCACATGTGAAAGCCAAGCCCTCCCTTTAGTTATTATATTAAATGGTGATATTAGGAAATTAATATACTTGTAGTATCTCTGGTATGATGGCAATTAGTATATGCATATTTATTGAAACTGATATTATGTAGACTCTGGACATATATTTTTGTTTTTAATTTTCGGAAGTTTGATAAAAGTGTAACAAATATATTTTCTATAAGTGGACGATAAAATATAGAAACTGATATAAAATATGTTAGATAAACTGCACTTTTTTATTATGATCACGTGTTCGGAATACGACTTTTTTGACAGCAGTAGGTCATGGTAATGAATAGTAAAGTAAGTTAGGAAAACTGAAAACCTAAGGCTGTCTTATAAAATGCATTTATATGTGCTTGGTTCAAAAGTTTGCGAAAAGCTCATAGAGTTGCTCGAAAGCTTTGAAAAATGTTGAAAGCTTACAAAAAGCTTCAAACAACTTTAGACAATTTCAAAATTCTTTTCCAAGTGAGTTATTACTGATATTTAATAATAAAAATATGCAAAGTGAAATTAATTTATTAGAAATGTAAAAGCTTTTGCAAAACCCATTCCTTATGTCAATTAATAATTATAAACATCGATATGACTTTCGTATTCAATTGTCTACTGAGGTTAAGCGAAAAACGTCTATATTTGATAGCTAAATATTTTTTTATGATGCAAAATCAATCAGATGATAAAAACATTTTTTAGACGATAGATAGCGCCACCTATCGAAATATTTTATGACACCACTAATTTTCCCAATGGAAACATATTTCACGAATTGGAATAACTATATCACAGCTTTAAAATATTAAGTATTTCTCCATATCTATATTTACGATATATGTATATAAGATTTCTCTCCTCCATAAACTTCCATTAAATATATTTTTCCTTAATTGAAAACTTATCTAAAGTCTTTCTATTTCCATATTTCTACAGGTTGGTCGCTCATCGGAGTCCCCCATAGATTTTGTTGTTATGGACACATTGCCCGGTGATAAAAAAGATGCTAAAGTCATGCAAAGTACAATATCGCGTTTCGCATGTCGAATACTGGTGAATCGCTGTGAGGCATCCAAAGCGCGAATATTTGCCGCGGGCTTTGACTCAAGTAGAAATATTTTCCTGGGCGTAAGTTTGCTGCAAACAAATAAATAAAAACAGTAATAATCAAAGATTTCTTTGTCTACAGGAGAAGGCCACAAAATGGCAGGATAATGTCGAAATCGACGGTCTCACCACAAACGGTGTGCTAATAATGCATCCAAAGGGTCAGTTTTGCGGCGGCAATGCCAAGTGTGGACTCTGGCGTGAATGTTCGGTCGGCGGTGATGTGTTCAGTTTGCGCGAGTCGAGATCGGCCCAGCAAAAGGGACAGCCGGTAATTATCTAAAATAAATTTTTTGCTAAAGTAATAAAATAATACTAATAATTCTTCTTTATCCCACAGATTTACGATGAATCCAATGTACTGCAAGATGGCACGCTGATCGATCTGTGCGGTGCCACGCTGCTTTGGCGCTCAGCCGAAGGCCTACAACATTCACCGGTTCGTATCTAGCACGCGAGTGACATACACACACATATATATATAACACTTTATCACACATCTCCATTGTATTCTTACAGACCAAGCGCGATTTAGAAAAGCTAATTGATGAAATCAATGCTGGACGTCCGCAATGTCCGGTCGGTTTGAATACCTTAGTTATACCTAGAAAAGTGAATATTGGTGATCAAGTGAATCAGCCTTATGTGTACTTAAACTGTGGACATGTTCAGGGTATGTAATTGTCGGCGCTCAGCCGCAACCCTTTTTCAACTGTATACAAATATTTTTTGAATACTAATACTTCTTTATTTTGCAGGTCATCACGATTGGGGCCAGGATAAGAGTACTGGCGCTCGTCGCTGTCCCATGTGCCTCGAAGTCGGTCCGGTCGTTACGCTTTGTATGGGTCTAGAACCGGCCTTTTATGTTGATGTCGGTGCACCTACGTTCGCTTTTAATCCATGCGGTCACATGGCGACTGAAAAGACAGTCAAGTAAGTCAAGTATATTACAACAAAAAAAACTATGTTGTGGAATGCGTTGTAGTGGAAATTAGTTTCAGTTTTGCCTGAACTTGTAGCAATTACTTTTTGCTAACATTTTGTATGAAATTTGTCCCATCCGAAATCTTAAGATCGTAAATTCCCATTTTACCGAGATTTAAAAAAAATATTATGTGCTCTTTAAACAACAAAAATACACCTTTCCGAAACCTTTGTTAAAGAAAATGTGAGTACCGATTTCCATCTCACCTAAAATGAAGTTTCGAAGGAATATTTTCGTCTCAGAGTTTTACATAACCTAAACAGACCCGTATATAAACCGGCTAAGCAATGTCATCACAACGTCATTTGCTACAACTTACCAGGCTTAAATTCCCGAAATAAAGTTTTTGGACGAATAAAATCTGAGTCAATTGTAATAAAGTAGAAACGGCTGTCGTGGCAAAAAAATGCCTTGAATATTTTAAACAGTTTGCTTATGCTACAACAACAAAAGCAAAACAATTCCACCACAACCACATACAATTCAACTAGGTGACCTTATCCTTCAATTCTTACTTTCGTTTCTTGTATTTGTAGTGATGCGAAAATGTAGCGAGCCTAATCAAGAATGTTGAAGTCATTATTACATATTGGTAGTTTGTGGTCTTAATTTCCAGCCGATGCAGATTCTAAAAATGCTTTTTGCGATCGCCCCTCGGTAGCTAAATGTCAAGCCACCAAATGTATTTCACTGTAATCTTCGATGGCAACTTAAATCTTGTAGCACAATTTTTATAGTCCTTTGTTCTTTGCGCCAAAATATAGGCAACATTTGGTATTTTTCTTTATTTTTGTCGTGTATAAACGTTTCTAAAGTTTAAACTTGTCTGCAGGGGCAGGTAATAGGAGGTTAGAATATTGTAAGAAATAATAGAACAAAGCCAATCATAATTCAAACATGATTTTTAATTCCCGAAATTAGACCATCAAATCTTATACCATAAACAGGACGCATTGAGTTTGCCACGAAATTTCTAACTCCTAGAAGAAATCGGAAATCGTATAAAATAGCACGACGAGTTAAATCGATTTAGCCATTTTCGTCTGTCTGTCCGTCTAAATATACGCAAACTAGTCCCTCACTCGTTTTGGAATTTTACCCACATCTTTTTCTCCCCAAGAAGCTGCACAATTTTTCGAAACCGCCGATATCGGACTACCTGAACATATAGTTGCCATACAAACCTGACGATCAGAATAAGTCCTTGTATGGAAACCTTTTTTATTTAACAAGATATTTTGAGGAAATTTTGCACTAATTATTGTCTAAGGCAGCACTACAATTTGCCAACAAATTGTAAAAATCGGAGCGCTATAGCATATAGCTGACGTTTGAATTGACCGATCAAAATCACCGTTGGCTGGTTACGTTTTCAGATTTAGTTGTACATATATATAGTTGCTACATGAAATGCACCTGTGAAGGGTATTGTAGCTTCAGCGTAGCCGAAGTTAACGGTTTTTTCTTATTGTAAATTTTTTTAAAATTATTTTTATTTTATTTTATTTTATTTTTTTTTTTGAAATTTTCCCCCCCATATATGAGCCTATACTATATTTTAGTAGATTTTATGCAAACAATTTTAATTCATTTCTTCTTCTTTTCCCGTTTAGGTACTGGGCCAATGTTGATATACCACATGGTACGAATGGCTTTCAGGCGGTTTGCCCCTTCTGTGCGACGCCACTGGATGGTTCATCCGGTTATATTAAGTTGATTTTCCAAGATAATTTAGATTAAATTACATAATTATTATGTTTAAATTTAAGCAGAGCGCATATATTTTGCAAGCATGCAAACTGGCAATGTTGCAGTTTATCAGCCCATTTATATGCATTAGTATATAGAAATATATTATATAAGTGTATATACATATTTTTATGTATGCACACATGTAATTACAAAAGTTGTACGCTGAGGCGCAGCTTTTTGGCAAATTTCACCAAAGTGAAGTGAGTTGCTTAGAGTAATGCTACTATTGTAATGATTTTACAATTACTTTTTTTAATTTATATATAGAATCTTCTCTCTCCCGCCCCCACAAAGAAAGCATTGGCTGATAAGCTTTAACATACATACATACATATAATTTATTTGCCATACACAGGCATAATAATTACAAAATTTTATTTCAAATATAAACTGAAAGAAATTTATATACGAACACATATACATACAAATATACACGCATGCCACTGAATAGAGTGTAAAGCGTGAAAGTATTACAAAAACAAGTGAGGAAAATTGAAAATGAAAATATAAGTGCATAAGTTTGTTGTATGTGTGTTGGCGTTGTGCAACTGCACCGTTAGGGTTCATAAAGCAAGCTGTAGTGGTAATGCATTGTAATGAATTGTAAAGAAATGTCATGAATTTAAGTTATGTGAAATTTATAATAAAATTAAAATACAAAATCATAAATGATTAATGATAAATGTTAGCACGTAAGGCGAACGAACACATATAAATGGTGTGAAAATCATTTTGCCACAAGCAAGCAACACATAGACACACGCATATACACATTCATACAATACATATATATAAATTTAACAATTTAGAGCTTAATGTGTAAGAAACCAATAGTAGAACTACAAAGTACATCTATAGGACACTCTTGTGCCGATTGATTACGAAGTGGTTGTGTACAGTTTATCAGCGTAAATAATACAAATAGGCGTTGGAGTGATAGCTACATTTACGGTACATTCGTTTTTTATGCAAACTCTCGCGGCAAACGCTGCCAAGTTGGTGGCATTTAAATAATAAGTAAAGCTTTCGGTTTATTTGTAATATGTAGATTTGGAATATTTGTTCAAAATTTGTTTTATTTTTTTGTTGAAATTTCTTTTATATTGACTGTGTAAAACGCCACTGCGTGCAATTTAAACTCGTTCACCGTTTAGCTTATTATTTATGTAATGAGGAAATAATAATTATACACACACCCATATGTATTCCCATATACATGTGCATTTCATTGAAATCAAAAGCAAAAACAAATAGCAAAACCAAAAATTTACATTCTTTAATGAAATTGAAAATGAAATCTAAATGTGGCTTCATGCGCAAATGTAAATGTAAACCTAAAAATTAAATAAATAACTAATAATTAACTGAATTGAGAGATTTAGATTTTATGTACATGTACTATGTAATTGTGTGCACAATTTGCATGTGTTTAGAATTTAAATGAATTAACTTGCAAAAAATTCAAATTGTATTCAAAGCGAGTTACAATAACAAAAAAAAAAAAAAATTAGATGCTGCGTTTATGCAATATATTTTATGAACAGAAAATATATAACATTTACAAAATTTTACGTTCACATAAGGAGGCATGTATTAATGCAAATCGGTTATTATAAAATTTATATAAAAATTAAATTAATTTGTCAAAAAAAAAATCTCAAAATTATAAATATATATTTTTTCTCAAAATTACTTTTTATTAATTATTCTTTTTTATACAATTTTTTATATAACTTTTTTCCTAAATATAAAGCTGTTGTTTATTTAAATAACATCTTAAAACTTAAATTTCCTCATAAAAAATTACTAAAATTAATAAATGTGTAATTATTGCATGCTATTTAAAGATGTTAAATAATTTATAAAAAAAAAAAATCTAAACAAGATATATAGGTTTTTTTTAAATTTATATGTTAAATAATTTTTTGTTATATAAACAGCTATTTTTTATTTAAAAAAATTAGTAAACAACTTCCCAAAATCATAAATACATATATAGTTTTTTTCAAAATTTTTATTTTTAATAATTATTAATTATATTTATAGTTTTTTATATTGATAGCTAACTTTTATTTTAAAAAATTCAGAAAAAGCTTCTCTGATTTTATTATTTTTGTTTTAAATAGAAAATTTCAAAATTTGAATTTTCTCACAAATTGTTTGCAATTATTTTCTGCTATTTAGAGGAGTTAAATTTATTTAAAAAAAAAATTGTATGTATTATGGTAGAATACTAAGTTCGCATATTCATATATAAAATTTTAGGGCAAATTTACATTATTTTCCAAGGTTAATTTTTTTAATATAAAAACTAAATGATAAAAAAACCTTAACTCTAATTTTCGTTTAAAAAATCTTCTAATTTAAATGATAAAAAAGAAATGTCTAAAATTACAACAATCGTATGGTATACACACAAGCATTTTTCATTCATTATTGCGTATTTAAATAAAATAAATTAATTCGTAAAAACCAAAAAAAATAAATTAAAATCTAATAAATATAAGTACATATTAGGTTGTTGTGCAAAAATAAATTTGAATATGCGTAACCATTTAAATTTGAGGAAAGTTAATTATGTTTTTAAAAACTGTAAATTTCTTTAAATGGTTTTTTTTTCAAAAAAAATTATAAAAATCTTCGAACGTTTGCTTCAAAAATTGCTTCAACATTTGTACGTAAATCATGCATGATCCATTCATTTGTAAATTGTATAATATTTGGAAAAGTATATGAGAGCAATACATATACATATATCATTTGAGGGTAAATTAATTTTTTTGAACAAGATTTTCCAGTTTTTTATGTATTTTATTAGAAAAGAAAAACTAGAAAATTAACTTGAAAATGAAGAATTTCTAAAAAAATTTAGTTTATGTTAAAGCAAAAAAAAAATAAAATTAATATTCTTTCAAGCATCCAAAACTAAAGATTGTTTCATAAATTTATATTTTATTTTTTACAAAAGCATATACGGGAATTTTAGTAAACTCTAACGGCATTATATAAAAAATATTATTATATATAAAATATGTATTATTTTCAAATAATTTAATTTGTAAAAAAAAAAAAATTTATTACATAACCTCATTATGTCCAGATAATATAAAAACGTCTTTGAGCGTCGTTTATTTTATATTTTCCTTCATTTTCGGCGAACTTTGCGCACTCATTATGCATTTAAATGCCACAGTTATTAACACAGCAATTATAAATTGTTTTAAATTTTTTTCAAATCTGGCATTTATCAAAACGTTTAAGTGCGTCAGTTTTAGCCACTTAATTATCTTTCTTAAAAAATCTATTTTTAAAAGCCATGTTTAGTTAATGTGTTTAATTTGATAAGAAATATATTGATTACCATTAAATAATAAGTAAATTTGTGTTAAACAATTAATAACGTTTATAATAATTTTTAAATGCGCTGAACTTTTAAAATTTCTTTATTAAGTTTAAACTTTATTTTTGCATTATTATTATCTTATTTTTTATTATTAATATCTTTTTTTTATAAAATTTTTATTTTTTTTTAGGCATAAAATTAATTATAATGATAATGGTACTGTTAACAATTGAAAAAAAAAACAAAACAAAATAAGAGTACATATAAAATAAATCCTTATATTGAATATCTTTAGAATTTAAATGAAAAAAGTGTAATTAAATTTACTGAATTCTATGATTAATAAAGATCAAATGAACTGAATACAAATGTAAAAAAAACACCGCTGACTTTTTTTATCCAAATTTTTTTTATCGAGAGTTACAGGTTTGTATAATAAATTGGAAGGATCGACATTAAGCATTTGGACCATCTAGTAATCTCGCTGCGTTCGCCAGTGGCCGTCAAAGTGTGATACATAACAATAATAACTATACCGTTTGAATATATGTGTGGAGATCTAATGCACCTGATAGGGGAAGTACAAAGAATAATTTAGGCCAACCGAAGCGTTAGAGCGTTTTGCTCGTCAGTGAGCGTCAAAGAGAGTGCATATACGAGCAAGCAAAACGCATTATAGTGTGTCGTATTCTAAAGTTTGTGGAGAGCTTAGAGTGGCTATTGCTCTCGATAACAAAAGTATATGAGACTTTAGAGAGAATACTCATGTTAAGACTAAATCCGTCACTGAATACATGCGGTCTTCTAGATTCGATTTTAAGTTCCTTAAGATACCTTTTCTTCCTCTAAGTCTCGTTTAATTGCATATTTGACTTTAGGATTATAGTTATAGTTTCAGCATTTCTTGGGAACAGTTGAATTATTCTTTTTAATTTTAATGTAGTTAAGTCATTTAAAGACAGGGATGATATCGCAGAAAAATTTTGATTCCAGATTCTTACAAATTTGACCTAAGTCAATTTGTACTTTGGGACTTTGTGTAATTCTTCTTTACTTTATTACTATTTATTCTTTGAAATATTAATAATCAATTTCTTCAGCGATACTAAATTTCATTATCTATATTTTGATAGTTAGTTGCATGCATACTTGAAAGTTCGTTTTTAGATTCAGAACACATTTTCAGCATAAGTACGAAAAAATAACATTTTCTGAGGTCTCTTTAAGCGATTTTTGTGAATTAAAAAAAAAAATAACCAAAAATTGAAAAACATTTAATCTTAACCAAAATTTTGGTAATTTTCGGTTTGCCAAAATTTAATGTATGATCAGAACAAAAAACTAATAAGTCATTATACGAGTACAGAACATCTCTCCGTCTCCGAGTAAGCTCCCAAGCAAATTAAAAAAGTGTAGTTTTGATAAAAACTCCTCGAAATATAAACTGTTAGATCTGATTAACTGTGCGGCTGCGCTCTAGAATACTTTAACTCAAAAAATATATGCGATATCGACCTAAAATGTTAGTATGCTATATTTTAAGGTATAACTTATTAAAATATAGAAAAGAAATTTTATTTAAAAAAAATTTTACAAACCCCGCTGCAAGCCATAGGAATATTTTCCATTGTTAATGATCCATTTTATTAGTTAAAGAAGAAAAAAAGGTTAACTTCGTTTGTACCAAAGCTATAATACGCTTCACAAATACAAAATATTTCTTACAAAAACTTGATTTCAATCTTTCAGTTTGTATGACAGCTATGTATATGCTATAGTAGCTCTATCTGAACAGTTTTTGGGAGATTGTACCCTTGCCTTGAAAAATATCCTATGCCAAATTTGTTAAAGATATCTCTTAAAATGAAAAAGTTTTCCATACAAGCACTTCATTCCGATCGTTCAGTTTGTATTACAGCTATATGCTATAGTGATTCGACATCGGCGGTTTCGACAAATGAGCAGCGTCTTGGTGATAAAAAGACGTGTGCAAGATTTCAGAATTTTAGTTCGATATCACAAAAACTCAGGACTAATTTGGTTATATGCAGACAGACAAACGGGCATAACTAAATCAACTTAGTTCTTCATGCTGATAAGTTTTGTACATATTTTATTCGTGGCAAACTTACTTGTAGTATACCCTGTTCAGGGCTCGAAACCGGTTCGGTTCACAATCAAATGGCGCTTCTGTGCTTAATGCCCACTTTCATTTTGTATCAGCTTAAAAACCAAACAATAATTATTTTTATTGACATAAGGTGAAAACAATTAATTTTATTATTGTTCAATAATTTTCGTATTACATTCAATATAAGACAGATGC